AACAACAACAACAACAACAACAACAACAACAACAACAACAACATAAAAAATAATGTAACATAAAAAGAAAACAATAACAATAACAACAACAACAACAACAACAACAACAACAACAACAACAACAACAACAAAATCACATAAATTATATCATAGTAAGGACAACAACTAAGCACCATTATCGTCAATCACAAACTATGATAAGACCCATCACCAAAGAATAATATGTCCTAGTACATGCGCACCAACAACACGAACATACGCAACTGCATTGATTTTTATTGCGATAAACATTTCAAGATCAGAATAAACAAAAATCCCATTCCCGAAATCTAATTTCAACAATCAGATATGTACAGTTTGTCCAGCTGACCGTAAATACAGAGCAGACTGGAACCCAAACTAACTCGCCACCACCTATTTTTGGACCAGTCTGTTGTTATGTTAGGGCGCAGACCCAGGAAATCAGAACCCAGATAGTCTCAAGATGAGAGTTCCTACACGTACCCTTTCTCGCAGTGCACCAAAGGGTGAAAGTAAAGTATAACTCCCCTCACCTCTACCCGCTTCGATGTCTATGACATTGTGCTTCATTCAATTCGTGCCAATCTTACTGTGACCTCGGGTCTGTGCCCTAGAACAAGTATATCATTTTTTTAAAAGCATATACATTGATTGAAATGGGGCGAAGAAACGGGTGAGGGGAGAGCGAAACTTTACTTTTACCCAGGAAAGATAGAACTGCGTTCTGGTTTGCTTTGATTTTTTGGGTTTTTAATGGCGAAAGATTTTTCTGACGTAGTCCACATGATATCCTGTAGAGGCGTGTAATCTTTGGGGGACGTTTTATGACGTAGTCCACACGTTCTCCTCCAGGGCCGCGCAGCTGTAAGCCTTGAACTGGGAAAGAAGTGAACAAAATACTATTAATTCCTTCTACTATCAAAAAGATCATTAAGTATTTAAAAATTGATACGCATACAGATAATAAATTTATCTCTACCATATCCTAACGGATTTTTTAAAAACTAGAAAAGGTGAACAAAAAGATTTTCAAGTATTTGTTTGTCCTAAATTCTTTCTGGAGCTTAAAGAAACGGAATCCTGTCTGTTCTAAATATCTTTGATTTTTCCGCTTCTGGTATACATAAATATAGATACACATACGCATGAACACATGCGCACACATGCACACACACACACACACACACACACACACACACA